TATATATATACATAAAGAGAATACCATTGATAACATTGAACATATTGAATATCATGCTGGGCGGCTGCACCTGAACTTACGCCTGATTTACCTATTACATAAATTTCGTGCTTCATTTTCTTTTGTAATCTCTCGATCTATAGAAAACCGATTGTTCTTGTTTACATTCCAATATATCCATATAAAGATCATTCCACACAACTTGCATAGCCGCATAACCATATGCATAAAGAAAATTATCCAATCACATTTCTGTCATAAAGATAAACGTAAAATACGATTGGATGATTTTCTTTAGGCATATGTTTATGTGGCTATGCAAATTGTGTGGAATGGCCCATAATGGATTGCGCAGTGAGGCGATAGTCTCTACCAGAGAGAATTGAGGAAGAGTGAAGTGGATTCACTTGGAAACCGCCATTTTTAGTGCACCATTGAAGTGAATAGGAGCGTGATGGAACATACGATGCTGTACACACTAGTATTGTATCGCACTAGTGTATATGACATATATGTATTTACACACACACGTACACATTTGCGGAAGTGCATTATAAATGGCAGAATCAATCAGAAACACTCTCCAATCTACTTTGATTCTTTCTGGCCTCTACAAGAAAATTTACGACAAAAATTAAATAAGACTACACCAATGAGAAAACCATAAGAAATACGAAAAACGCTCCTGCAATCGATGCCGAGATCGGGCAAATCCACAGTCGCGTATATTCGGATTCTTGTGGATCATTGTGAAATTAGAATCACTATAATAAGAGTCAGATCGGAAGCGCGATTGCTGGGACGTCGTTTACACACCTTATACGTAGAGTACATTACACAAACTCACGTTTTCACTAACACGGTCCCGGACATGGCGCTGATCGAATCGCTGATGTCTCAACTCTTATTATAGTGACTCTAATGCGAAGGGTAACAAAGGCGACATTTGTACTTTAGCTTCCTGGTCAAGGTTAATGGCTATCACGTTCCCATCAATAACCACTACCGCTCCAGAAGTCGCGATTACCATAAAGTCGCTGTAGACTTAAACACTGTAAAAAGAATTAAGATTTAAAAATTATTAAAATTATTAAAAAATAATAAAGTTTATTTTTCTTATTATTTTATTATTATTTTAATAATTATTATACACATAATATCTTTAAACTGATATAATTAAAAAAAGAATGATTCCTCACAAAAAATAAATAAAAGATAAATATAATTTTGTTATAGTATCAATTTAGAAATACTGTATATTATTATGTTAATACTGTATATATGTTATGTTCAAGAAGTCTCATACGAGAAGAATCAATGAAATCTTGAAGATAACACGCTCTCGTAGCAATCTTTCAGGAAGATTTTTACGTGATAATTTTATTTAATTTAATTTAGTTTAATTTAGTTTATTGCAAAGCTATATGAAAAAGACTACGTGTTAACAAAGTAATAGACATAAAGTATGATACAATAGACTATAATTAACATAAACATAAATACAATAGACAATAGTAGTTTGCAAATGGTTAGACATTAGTAAAATTGCTATTACAAAGCCTACCAACAAAACCAGAATAAGACAACAATGTAATAAAAGATAAACTAACAGCTGAAATCACACACACACACCGCGCGCGCGCGCGCATACGTCAGCATACCAATTACATCAGTCTCGTTTAAATACTGTGATGCAATGAAATGCGAGGCAGCGGAACAAAAGCAGGCTAGAGAGAGAGAGAGAGAGAGAGAGAAAGAGAGAGAGAGAGAGAGAGAGAGAAAGAGAGGTTTTTATTGAATCAGAAAGGGAAAAATGTTTAACAGAGGTATAAGAAAAAGCGGCACGGAACTTAGAGGATCAGTATATGAGAAAGGAAATAAATAATCTTGGTATCTGATGACAAAAAGATTAAAAGGTTAAAAGAGGAATGATGCTCAGAGTTAAACTGAAGGAGACGTCGTAGACATAGAGGAATATTAGAGCGAAGGAAGGAAAATACAAGACAGCACAGGTGGAGAATAAAATGTTGTCAAATTTTAGCCAGCTAGATCTTTAGTAATACGGAAGTATAGTCGTATTTATGAACATAAGGAAAAGGAGACAAGAATTTTGCGAAGAAAGATGCGCTGCAAATATTGGTTAAGAACAAAAACAACATCAGCGATCAATCAAAATATTAAATAGAGAAATAACAAGTAATTGAGAAGTTTTTGAAAGCAGAAAAGGATGTGGCAAAGGGGATAAAGAAGATGTAAATGAGCATAAGCAGCCCGATAATAGTTCTCTCTTGTAGTTCTTTCTTATTTTATTCTCTTTCATATGATTAAACTTTTCAAGAATTATGTACTAACCTTGAAACACGATGGACACTTTTGTTTCTTTGCCTGTAGCTGAAGAGGCAACAGGGGCCTCTCTCTACAACTGGTATATAATCGGGTGTACAATCTGGTATACAATCAACCAAATTTGCCTGAATATTTTTTAGGATATTGCAATTCGTGACAACATTGAGAAACAATAAGCTATACTGCACTTGACACCATCATAAGCATCCGTGGAATCCAGATTGTAATAGATCGCGTACATATGATGCGCACCGAGATAAAATTCACCTATCGTTGTATCTATAAAATATAATTTAAAGGAGCTGATTGTTATATAAAAATATATAAATTAAAATATATAAATTAAAATATATAAATTAATATAAAAATACATATTTTAAAAATACATATTTTATTGTTAGATATAGATAAATATTACTATTAAAAAAAAATATTTAACAAATTAATTATTTCTACAATTATAAATGAGATATAAAGAGAAAATTACCTTAGATTTTCCTGCTAAATCTCCTCGTGCTCCTCGATTCCGTGCAGGGCCATCAATTTCTTCTCTTGTTTCGAGCATTCTAACATTTGTGACGATCTCATAGCTGACAACCGGAAATGAGAAACTAATATTCAATATGCTACATTCCGGCCGGCATCTTTATTGCCATATTTGTCATATAATCATATGACTGCTTTCATTATGGATGCTCACGCGAAGGGCTACTCATTTACGAAATTAACGAAGAAATCAGTAAAAGAAGTAGTCAAGCATTCCTCATTGAAATCAAACAAAAAAGTATCTTCATATGCTCGATCGCGCGTCGAATTTTTTTCAGAAAACAAATGGAATCACGTTGAATTCATTGAAAAAACAATAAATACAAGAAATCAGAAATCACTTTCGTGAATAAACTCTTTCATAAGTGAGTAAAGTCTTTCATAAGTGAGTCAGTTATTTTTTATTAAGATTCAATATTTATGGACTATCTGAAATTAATTCTCTCTTTACAGTTTAATTTGCAGTTTATTTAAATATTCATAAAAATCTTTAGCCAATCGTGGGACTTGGTTCTTCTTATGCATCGAATGATTCTAAGAAAAATTTGTAAAAACATACATAAATCATTTACCTATTTTATAAATGTTTAAATAGTAGACATGATTCCATTTCAAATATAAAATGAAAATAATTTTTCACAAATCAAAATGCCATTTTCATTTTAAATACAATACATATTTAAAATGGAATTATTTTAAGTATTACCCAGCTGTACAACGGTATCGTTACATTGTCATTTTATTAAAAAATTTAAAATATAAAAATTCAAAATGGCGAATTCATTATGGAGAATTTAAAATGATGGCTCTAAAATGCGAAAAATGACATTCGATCATTATTAGATCCATTTTAATTTTCTATATTTTAAGTTTTTCAGATTTGGTATCAGTGACCTTTAGAAAACCTAAGATACTTTTTTGATACAAATTTATCCACTTTCCGTTCAATTTGCTAATTTGGATCTATCATTTTACATTTCAGAAAACGTCATGACTTAATGAAAAGAAAATCACACATTAAAAAAAATTCGTTTTAAAGATAATGATTCACTTTTTAGAGTGGCGCTATTGAAATGGAAAAATAAAATTTCGTTTGCCACAAAAAAATAATAAATATGACAAAAAAAACATTGTTTTCATATTACTTGATTGATCTGAAAAAATCTGATGTGATGGACATCTTTCGCTGGCAGATTTGGATTCAGTGACTCTATTAACCCGGGAGTAGGCGCGTCTCGAAATTAACGTTAGTGGGCGCGTCCTGGTCATTTTGACCGAAATATATTTTCGCACATATAGGTGTAGTAAAAAGAAATCCATTATTTTTGCATGAAATTGAATGGAAAAATAATGAATTTCTTTTTACTACACCTAATATGTGTTACAACTAGAATACATATATAATTATAAGTAATAATATACTATAAGTAATAATTAATAAGAAAATGAGACTACAAACACTAATTACATTAATGTAAGTGAGTTTACATACTATTGCGTATCGGAACATCTCGGCTTGCTTTTGCCGAATTTTTTCGTGATTGTTGTTTTCTTTTTTTAATTTATTATCTGCATTTTCAAACTAGTTTATAATGGTCAGGCTGGCTGCAAGAGTCAATAAAAGAAAAAAAAGAAGACTAACATAAGTTGATCTTTAGATCGATCATTAACAAACATATCAAATTTTATGTAGATATAAGCGTGACATCATCTATTTTCGCATACTGTACGAAAAAACATTAACAAACATTTACGTAAAGGTAAAAACATTTACGTAAAACATTTACATAAAGGTATAATAGTGCCAATAAAGTGAAAGATATAAATAGAAAACGAAAGAATACGGCAAAATGACCATAGCGTGATTCCCGGATTAAGAAATATTGGCCCTAATTGCCGCAATTTTTTTTATTGAACTTGTGTTATTACGAAGTATATATAACATATAATTAATTTTATAACTAATTATATAATATAATATAATAATAATATAATATAATAATTACCTGTTCACCTTTTCGCTGTCGCCTGGATCTCGGCAAGGAAAATACTTGGATACGCAACATAACAGCGCACAATAGACAAAAGCGCACAAAAGCTAACTTCTTTTTGTTTCGGTAGTCCTGGTGAAAAGAATAATTGGCCAATTCAAGATTCTACAAAACGAAGCCAACGCAATATTACGAAACGCAACGAACAAAATGAATCAAATATCATGATATAAAGACAAGAATATGCTCGTCCGGTGGTAGGGATAGAGCACTGCGCAAGCACAAGCATACGTCGTGGCATACGTCACACTCGAACTTCGACTGTTTCCGGAATCGATCAATAAAGAGTGCTTTCCAGCAAGGACAGTGAATCAGAGAGAATCAGGGGAGAGTAGAGCGGATTCAGCCGGCAGCGCCGTTTGTTGGAACAAGTACGAGAAGCCCAGTTCAAATCCTCGGTGTAATTAGAGTTGCGGATGATTTAAATGCTTTCGGTATTTCTATTCTTATTTTACTATTTCTAATAAATGATAAAGAATGATGATTACAAGTGCTTAAAACGCGTGAGCGTCCAAATAACTGCAATCTAAACCGCTGTCTTTTGCTAGAAAGTATCCAAAATATAGTCACCAACATATATGCAGCATATGCTGAATAAATTTTGTCCAAAGTTCAAGTGATTTCACATTCAAAATGCATTGTGCAGTTAAAAGATGCGAAAATTACCATCACAAGACAAATAATGAGTCAGATTGAAAGTAGTTGGAAAATTTTTTTGATTGAAAGGCATGCTTAAAAGCATATGTTCGAATTTCGCTTAATGATGACGTACGTTTATGAACAATTCTTATTGACTTTAAAACCTGTCACATATGAAATGCATAACAGAGCGTAAGCGTAACATAGGCCGTTAAACCAAGGAGCATCTTACGTAAATTAATATGGCGACTGGATGCTCATTGGTCCAACGATCTTATGCTTATGCTGTTAGGCATTTCGAATCATGTGCGACAGGCTTAAGGAGATCCTAAATGAAGCTCGAATTTCGATGAAGTCAAAGATCGCGCATAAAGTTATTAGATTTCTAAAGTACCGCAAATTTGCCTCCATCTTGACGCAAAACGCAGTCATTTTCAAATTTATGTATTCGTATAAACGTAATTTATTTGGAAAAATAAAGTCGTAAAATGTAAATCAATTTTTTAATTGTAAATAATTTATTTATGAACCAAAATAAATACTATACTAATGCTTAATTTATGTATTTTTTAGTTTTCTAATATAGATTTTTTTCGTTATGAAGTATTAGTGCAGAAAAGCGCAATCTGGTATTGTAAGTACAGGTATCGGTTCCTCATGAGGTGTACTTTTCGAAATGCGTTGGTTATGAAAATCAATCGTAAATTCATTCAGCATTTCTGTTAGAATATACAACAGAAATTCTAATTAGCAATTGGTCGCATTTCTCTATTCTTCCACGAAATATGCCCAATGTGAATTCCATTTTCAAAATGACATATTCTAGTAAATAAAAAATATAACGTATTTTAGTTAAATTAATACTATTATAATAATACTATTAATACTATATTAATAAATACTAGAACATGTAGGTTACGCTTATGCAGGTTATGTGACGGTATCCTGACTATCAGGGCGTTCCTTGGATGGAAAAGCAACAACCAATCAGAACTCTAGTTGGTAATCTATAATTTCGGTTTTTTGTATTATTTACTACCAGCGCGAGTTCTGATTGGTCACTGTTTTTTCGTTTTCTGCTTTTTCATCAAAGTGTGAACGCATCCTCATAATAATACTCTTGATCGCCTCTCTGAATATCAGTTTTCAAGTTTCGAACAAGCAAGCACAAGCGAATGAGCAAGGTAATCGTAAAATGCACAAGCAATATGTAAGTGCAAAACATTATGTAAATAGTGCAAATGGTACAGATTCCATCATTTTGACGCAAACTCGAAAATCCATCGTGGTATTTTAAAAATTTCAAGTGATTTTTAGTCGCGCATTGACATGTCTTTATATACTATCAATATCTCACGCAACTTATAATACACGCAGTTCGTGTCAATTTTCGTATAATAAATTCGTCGTGATAAAGCATTTAAATTTAATTTTAAGAACTCAATATTGTTTGTTTATGTAAATTACGTGTCTGGGAACTACTATTTCGTACAGATTGTAAAGCTTACATACACGAAGTAATAAGAAGGAGATCAAATGATCACGAAAAAAGTGGGTTCGAAATACGGTGTAGGAAAACCCATAGAAAATCCGACAGATGTAATTTTAATGAGTGTATTCAGTACTATGACTACCCACTGAGCGCTCAATGAGTTCTTAGATTCGTTCGCGTCGCATGCTCCAGCTTACTCTAATGTGCTCCTGCTATAGCTCCTATTCACTTCAACGAGCGCGTTAGAGTGAGTAAATACTATGGTAGGAGTATTTTAGAGCATGTTAGAGCATGCGACGCGAACAAACTTCTTGTATCTGTTTGGTTTATATTTTTAAATCTATACGGAATATGCCAATCAAAGGCAAGAGCTCACTGAGCGCTCGGTAAGCGTTTGTAGTACTGAATGCACCTAGTGCCATTATGCCTTGCGAAAAAAATTGTAAGTATTGGCAGTTACATGATCACAAGTATGTATCTACTCATCATATTACTACATACATATATGATCTGTAACCATGTGACAATCAATACTTCTAACTTTTCCCGCAAGACGTGATTGTACTAACATCTGCCGGATTTTCCATGGATTTTCTTATATTTCGAACCTAATTTTTTCACCGGCCACTTGAATTTGATCTCTTTCTTATTACTCCATGGTTACAGATTTTGGGTAGAAAAAAACCTAAGGCCGGGTTCACTTTAATGGAAAAACAGAAAACGGAAAAGCGGAAGCCAATCGGAATTCGCGGTAGTAATAAGTGGTACATACATTCTACTTGTCTGCTTCTGACTTTCCACGAGTCCTGATTGGCTTTCGCTTTTCCGCTTTCTGCTTTTCCGCCAAGGTGTGAACACTCCCTGAGAGCGGCCATGCCCAGGATTTAACTGTTACTTTATTTTGAAGCGCCTCTATGTCCAAAAAATGTGGACATTGAACGTGACAGTGAATGATCCGATTTGGTTGTATTCTTACCAATTTTTGGTTGTATTCTTCGCGATATCCACGAATTTCAGTCTGTTAGATAAACAAAGACGAACAATCAATCTGTCGGTATTTGTAATAAGTTTTTGTTACAAGACAACTTAAGAAGCGTTTATATTGGCCGTAACCATATGCCGTAATCTATAAAAATTGACCAATCACCTTCGAATATTCCCTTCTATCGCCGAATGAGAGGGAAATACTTGGCTGTGATTAGTCAGATTACGGTATACGGCCAATATAAACGCTCCCTTATAATTTTGCCTCTCTAAAGCTGGAAACACAATGAAAAGCACAGGCAATAGGAACAGGGAATAAAAAAAGATTTCAACCTATCAGAAAACATCCATTCTATTATTCATAATTTCTAATAAGTTGAAATCTCTTATCCTGTTCCTATTGGCTGCGCTTTTTATTGTGTTTCCAGCTTAACGGACTGAAATTCGTGGACATAGTGAAAAATACAATAAAAAAATCTTAGACATTACCGACCGGATCACAGATATTGGCTACGTAATTCAATGTCTACATTTTGTGGACATAGAGGGGCTTTAAAATAAAGTACAGTCGGATCTTTATAAAAGTAATTTGCCGGAATCGATCGATCTCCATAAAAATAAACAAATGCGCCAGCATATGTGCTCGATTACTATATGGAAGGTTAAGGTATGATTCTTACAAAGGTTAAAACAAAAATGGAAATTCGACTGTACACCTAAATTCTCAGGCCGTTCTCAGGCTTCTCTCTGTTTTGAGCTGTCATGTCCTCTCTCAGGTTTTCTTTCTCTTTGCTAAAGGGCCAGTTTCACCAACGCCAATTTAGCTTAATCGGCTTGGCTGACCAATCGTATTTGCTATTTAATAGAATCGACCAATTGCGGTCGACATTTTGACAGTTAATCACGATTAAGCGGGGAGCATAGACTCTTGCATAACACATGAGGCATAAGAAAATCAATCAATCCTTTATTTTACGAAAAGGAAAGAAATAAAAGACTTTAAATTTGATCGGCATTGAAACCGGCCCAAAGTCGACCTGTTTTACCATAACGTTATGTTTTAAGAGAAATCTCCAAATTGGCTTCACGGATTGCAAAATTTTTTTACACAATTAAAGAACGCATAAAAAGAAATCCTGGAAAATACGAGAAAATCGAAAAAAATTAAAAAATTCACTTTTTCTGGCACGTAAATCTGTCACCTAAGATTAATATTTGCTTGATATAAAAGTTTTACAGCTTGTATATTAATAAAAAAATAAGTGAAGCGAGATTCAGTTTATTTGAACAAACACTACTGAGTTTGTGGAATTAAGATTCAACGCATAGAAGAAAATATTTCTTCTCGAACGTAATTACGTACTTTGCAGGAACTCATCGGAACAAAATTTCGACTTACAGAGCCAAAATTCCGTAGTAGTAGTACGTAGTAGTTGTGCGGTCTTGTGATAGATGGTGCTGGCACATATGGGCATATCATGGAATTTTTTTCAGGAGGGTCAATCAACCTAGGAATAGAATCAGTTGAAATTTATTTTACGGATAAATTTATTGCTATTTCAATAGCAATTGAAATCTTAATATTTAGTCCTATTCTTAATATTTGATATATTATGCACAGACCCTTAATTAATTTCTTCCGCAAATTAAGTTTAACACAAAAACTTCTATTACCAAACAATTCAAAATTTAAAATAACAAATATAATATTAAAATACATAATAATACATAATAAAATATGGCTCAAATAATTCAAATAAAAGAAATTGTGCTACTAAGAAGGGCTACGAGTCAAACAAACAAATTTTAATGTACATAAAATGATACAGTTAACATTAAATAAAACATAAAAATAAAAACAAAGATAAAAATATGTCTACATAGAACTGTGTTTCTATGTTTACATAGAAATGTTTCGACTCCAATATAAAATATAATATTATTATATCTTATTCTTATTATTAGAAATACTCAATATAAACAAATTTTTATAATAACCTGTTTAAATAAATTTTTAATCTGTATGCATCACGAGTGTTTTATG